CAGGCTGGAGTGAAGTGGTGCCATCTTAGCTCACTGCAACCTCAGGAGCTTCTCCTGCCTCAGCCTTCAGAATAGCTGGGACTACAGGAGCACGCCACCATGCCTGGTTAATTTTTTGTATTTTTAGTAGAGGCAGGGTTTCGCCATGTTGGCCAGGCTGTCTCAAACTCTTGACCTCAGGTGATCCGCCTGTCTCGGCCTCCCAAAGTGTGGGATTACAGGCGTGAGCCTCTGCACCTAGCCACCATTATCATTTTTTAAATGCCCTGTTATGTTTTTATTTGGAATAGAGTCAGCTTTTATTCTACCAAGTCTCAGCAGGGAATAGATACTTCCCGTTGTCTTCATCTGAGTATTGCTAATGCTCTTGTGGGATTGTGTATGTCTTCTATAATGGTGAAACTCCATTGCCCATTTTAAAATTAATTTAGGTTTTTTTTCTTTTTCTTTTTTTTTTTTTAGGGACAGGATCTTGCTCTGTCACCCAGGCTGGAATGCAGTGGCACAATCATAGCTCACTGCAACTTCCAACTCCTGAGCTCAAGTGATCCTCCCTCCTCAGCCTTCCAAAGTGCTGGGATTTCAGGCATGAGCCACCAGGCCCAACCGGATTTAATATTTTTATTCAGTGTGATATTTATCTGTCGTTTATATATATTCTGTCATATTACTCCTTAAACTGTAAGTTGAAGAGATTGAGATTATGTGATCCTCCCTATATAACTGAGTACTTTTTAAAATTAAACTAAAAAGACCTGTTGGAGAATGTAGGTTTTCTAGATTTTCTTTTCTTTTTTTTCTGAAAGGAGTTTCAGTCTTCTTGCCAGGCTGGAGTGCAATGGCACGATCTTGGCTCACTGCAACCTCCGCCTCCTGTGTTCAAGCAATTCTCCTGCTTCAGCCTCCCAAGTAGCTGGGATTACAGGCAGGTGCCACCACACCTGGCTAATTTTGTAATTTTAGTAGAGAGGGAGTTTCTCCATGTTGGTCAGGCTGGTCTCAAACTCCCGACCTCAGGTCATACGCCCACCTTGGCCTCCCAAAGTACTGAGATTACAGGCATGAGCCACCACACTGAGAGGTTTTCAAGATTTTCAATGATGAAAGGGAGATAACTTGTTGGAGTGGTAATAGATTAAGAGGCGGCAATATTTCCAGACATTTGGTGCTCTAGAAAAAGGCTGAAAGTTCATATTTCAAGTTATTTCATTGTTCACAGATAAGCAATCCCATGGTTAACTCTGTGCTAGTTCCTGGTCCTTTTCTCTCTTTAGCAAAGAAGAAAGGTGAAATGGTTGTTGGATTTCGACTTAGATGCATAAACTAGTGGCACAGCCTATTTCTCCTCCAACCTCTACCCTGTTTTGATCACATGTGGTGCTGCTGAAAAGTAAATTACTTTTGAGCTTTAAAAATTTTTAATGTTGCCGGGCACTGTGGCTCACACCTGTAATCCCAGCACTTTGGGAGGTTGAGGCGGGCGGATCACACAAGGTCAGGAGTTCGAGACCATCCTGGCCCTGTCTCTTATACACATCTAGATGTGTATAAGAGACAGACTGTACTCCAGCCTGGGTGACAAAGCAAGACTCTGTCTCAAAAAAAAAAAAAAAAAAAATAAGGTTTTAATGTTTGTGTTGTATTGGTGGAGAGTCTTAGGAGCCTGGTCTAAAACTTGGTGTTTCAGGAACATTTCAGTTGACAGACTTTGTTGATTTTCTTCTATTTCTTCATCTTTTAATTGGGTATTTTATATACATACACAACTTGTAATTGGGTATTGTACATTTTGAGTATAATCTTTTTGTTAAAAGAAACCTGATAATTTAAATTCATGGCATTTTGGTTTTATTACCTATATGAGAAAAGTTGCCAAAATAGGACCCCGGCTTTTTCTCCAAATCATAGGAATCTCTAATAAAACTTTGACAAACCCAGCCACTCTGATGGAAATCACTGCATGCTACTCACTGCCACCACAAATCATATCAGAAGTCTTGTTTGCTATGTAAAAGTAGCTCAGGGGCACCGACATCCTCCACAGAGCTTTAGTGTGTGAGTCTGGGAAACTTGAGATAGAGTTGTGGATTCCCATGCATCACCTCTTCTGGGCTCATGAGTGGGCACACTGGGTGTTGGCACCCTTTCCTGATGAACACAGATGCATCCTCAGGGTTCTTCTCAACCAGTCCTCCAGGGACTCTCTCCAGGGAGTTAATCAGAGTTGGCATTCCAGATAAATTTTAAATTCTATCCCTCTCTTTGATAGAGGGGGGGCCTGAGATATTCTCAAAATTACCTGTCTTGAAATGAGATTTATCCAAGGTGAGGCTGTACAGTAAGAGTGCAGGCTTTGTCATCACATGGCTGGATCCTGAGTCCTGGCTCTATCCCTTGTTAGTTGAATGGTAGTGAACTGGTCACTTCGTGTCTTCAGGTTTTGGTTTTTGGTTTTGTTTTTTAATCTGTGAAGTGGAAAGAAGTCATACCTTCTTCAGAATACTGAGGATTAAATACAGCCATTTTTATAAAGTGCTTAGTAGACTATCTAGCCCAATAGTTCTCAGACTGTTAGTATTAGTACCCATTTATACTGTTAAAGATTATTGACCAGGTGTGGTGGCTCACACCTGTAATCGCAGCACTTTGGCCGAGGCGGGTGGATCACGAGGTCAGGAGTTCAAGACCAGCCTGGCCGAGATGGTGAAACCCTGTCTCTACTAAAAATACAGTAATTAGCCAGGCACAGTGGCAGGCACCTGTAATCCCAGCTACTCAGGAGGCTGAGGCAGGAGAATTGCTTGAACCCAGGCGACAGAGATTGCAGTAAACTGAGATTGCACCACTGTACTCCAGACGAGGTGACAGAGTGAGACTCCATCTCAAAAAAAAAAAAAAAAAAAAAAGATTATTGAGGACCCCATAGTTTTTGTTTATTAAAAATTAAAACTGAAAATTTTTACAAATATATATTACTTTTAGAAATTATAATAAAACCCTACTATATATGAACAGAGATAGCATATTTTATGAAAAATAATTGTGTTTGCCAAAGACAAGTTAGTGAGTAGCTTATGTGCTTCCGCATTCAACCAGTTGTAATATCACACATCCTGCAGATTCTGGAAAACTCCACGTACCTATATGAGTGAATCAGAGTGAAAAAGGCAAATAATATCCAAGTAATAGTTTGATGATATGCTCAGGAATGGACAGCTGACCCATTTCTAGCCAGAGATTCAAGGAAAAGTTTGCTGGGAAGTGGCATTCCATTCCAAATAAAAAGACCAAGGTTTCTAAAAAGAAGGCCTTTTGCCCTTTTGATTATTTGGAATGTAGACATGATGCCTTGGTTTGTCACAGCTATTTGGGGACAAGATCGAGAGTAAAAGTCAACACATTCAGGGTGATGGAGCAGTATGACAGGAAGAGCTCTGTTCTTGAGAGCACTGTTGAACAGCCGAACCAGCTCCTACAAGTCTTACCTACCAGCTCTGAACAAAAAAAAATGTGTTTAAATAGTTTGAAATAGTTTTGGCTCGGTGTGGTGGCTCATGCCTATAATCCCAGCACTTTGGGAAGCCCGGGCAGGTGGATCACTTGAGGTCAGGAGTTCAAGACTAGCCTGGCCAACATGGGGAAACTGCATCTCTACTAAAAATACGAAAATTAGCCTGGTGTGCTGCCGTGTGCCTGTAGTCCCAGCTACTTGGGAGGCTGAGGAGAGTTGCTTGAACCTGGGAGGCGGAGGTTGCAGTGAGACAAGACTGTGCCACTGCACTCCAGCCTGGGTAATAGAGTGAGAGACACTGTGTCTCAAAAAAAATTAAAAAAAAAAAAAATAGTTTTGACTTCATGGACCATTGAAAGGGTAGGGTCTTGCCCCCCACCCCACCCCAGGACCCTTTGAGTATCATTAGTCTAGCCACTAATTAGCACCCAGTAAATTGTTGTTGTTGTTATTGTTATGAATGGAATTTTTTTTTTTTTTTTTTGAGACAGTTTCGCTTTTGTCGCCCAGGCTGGAGTGCAGTGGCACAATCTTGGCTCACTGCAACCTCCGCCTCCTGGGTTCAAGTGATTCTCCTGCCTCAGCTTCCTGAGTAGCTGGGACTACAGGCCCATGCCACCATGCCTGGCTAATTTTTGTATTTTTAGTGGAGACGGGGTTTCACCGTGTTAGCCAGACTGGTCTCAATCTCCTGACCTCATGATCCACCCGCTGTGGCCTCCCAAAGTGCTGGGATTACAGGTGTGTGCCACTATGCCCAGCCTATACATGGAAATTTTTATAACCAGCAAGTACTGTAGTATTATATAAATATTAGTGATGAGAAGTAAAGGTCATGGCTTCGAAGCTTTTTGCTATATACTTTCGTGAAGCGTCCCAAATAAGATTGTACTTCAGATGAAGCAAAAGAAACCACGGAGTTTTTCAAATACTAGTAATACATAAATGAATTATTCGAGTTGAAAAGGCTCAAGTCTTGCTTTCAGAAATTTAATTAAATATATAACCATAAAGCTTTCATTTTTTTTTCCAGAAGAGAGGCTTTTTCCCCCATCTAGAGTAATAGATCTTTGTAAAGAAAAAATTCATTACTTACTTTGAAACCACTGATAGAGTTTCTAGGGAGTTATAGTAGCCTCCTATAAAGGTGTCATGGCTACACTGTTAACCAGGTTGGGATTCATGATTGACAGGTCAGTCTTGACTTACTGGTTGGAGAGCCTTGACTTAAGCATTTATTACTGTTATAGATACAAAATCCCTTAAAGGGGCTTTTTGAGTTGGGTTTGGGCTGTGAAGACAAAAAGCACATGTGATATGATAACAAGTAACTTACACAAGCTGTCTTAAGATATCTGGGTAGTTCATATATTTCACATCTTAACAAGATATATGGACATAGTTTATATTAGCTCTACCTGTGCTTTGAGACATAGAACCTCTAATTATATCGATTTTATCCTTTCTTCTTTTTGTTGGGGATGGGTAGGTGTAGATCATGGGGAATTCGTATGCTGGGCAACTGAAATCTGCTCGATTTGAGGAAGCTCTCCACAACTCCATAGAAGCCTCACTCAGATGTAGTAGTGTGGTACCGCGGCCAATTTTTTCCCAGCTGTACCTGGACCCTGACCAGCATCCTTTCTCATCTGCAGGTAAGTTTCTCAATCATACGTATTTCTGGATTCTTTCTTTCTTTTTTTTTTTTTTTAGATGGAGTCTCCATCTGTCGCCTAGGCTGGAGTGCAGTGGTGTGATCTTGGCTCACAGCAACCTCCGCCTCCTGGGTTCAAGCGACTCTCCTGCCTCAGCTTCCTGAGTAGCTGGGACTACAGGCACATGCCACCAGGCCTGGCTAATTTTTTTGTATTTTTATTGGAGACAGGGTTTCACCATGTTGGTCAGGCAGGTCTTGAACTCCTGGCCTTGTGATCTGCCCGCCTCAACCTTTCAAAGTGCTGGGATTACAGGCGTGAGCCACCGCGCCCGGTCACTGGACTCGTTTTTTAAAAAGTGGGATTCTTGTTTTAGAAGTGGGGATTCCAAATCTTGGGACCTCTGAGATAAATTGGCTAAATGTTAGAAAATGCTAGACTTCTTTTCTTCAATTATGTCTTTCAGAACTGTGCATTTTTCCATAAGTATTTTTTTGTTAAATCTGCTATGATTTATTTGTTTATCCAGATGTCAAACCCAAGGTGGAGGATCTGGACAAAGATTTGGTAAACCGCTACACTCAAAATGGAAGTCTGGATTTTTCTAACAATCTAACAGTTAATGAAATGGAAGACGATGAAGACGATGAAGAAATGTCTGATTCAAACAGTCCACCAATTCCCTATTCACAAAAACCTGCCCCAGAAGGATCTTGCACTACAGATGGTGGGTTTCAGTTTTGTTTTCTTTTTGCTATTTTCTCTCTAATATTGTCTGACATATTTCTAATTATTACATGCAGTGCTCAAGGCTGGAAACTAGTAATTATGGCATGGAGAGGAATGAGAAATGATTATGCTCTCATTCACATTATCTCCTGTGACTTCACAACAGATGTCTGTAAGAAAGACAAGTATTATCATCTCATCTTATAGATAAAGAGACTGAAATTCACAGTTGTTGACTTCCCTGAGATGGTCTGTTTAGAATTGCCTTTGCAATTCTTGACCTGCCTTTGCAAAGCCAGGTCAAGGCTTTTCCAGTATTCCAAGTACTTTCTGCAAGAATGCTACTATTTTAGGACATTTTTTAGTGTTCCCTCTTCATACTTCTTTCTATTCCACCCCTGCCCTGCAGACAATCAGAGAGATATTAGATATTTCATATTTACTTTTTACATTTATTTTAAACACTCATCCAATACAGAGGATTAAAATATTTTATACATATTATAAATGTAAAAATTTATAGAGGATTAAAATGTGTATATTTTGATAATCCCTTTTTATTTATTAGGGTCAACCTCCTCTTCCACCAAACCTTCACACTTTGTAAGAAAATCCTAGTATAAAGCATTTCCAGTATTTCATGGTTTTGGTGATATCATAACTTAAATTACACTCTCTTCCCTCCATTTAATAGTTTACTATGCTATTTTCTGATCATCCCGGCCTGATTAATTCGTGAATAATACTTTGTCCAGATTAGCCAGAGTATTGTTCTTCTACCCAGAATGACTTGGACCTAGGATGATTTCAGTGCATGAACATTTTGGAGTGGGGGAAATGGAAGGAGAAGAAAAGGGATATAATTTCAGAACATTCCTCTTACAAAGCCTAAAGTGCAAATAATTAGAGAAAAACTAGAGCTTCAAATATGGAAAGCCAGAAAGCCCTGCTTGGGAGTTTTATTTTCTCTTGACTTTTTTTTTTTGACAATGTGATAAATAGTAAAGGAGTCAAAATCCCCTACCTAGGAGATGAGGAAACCTGAGTAATTCTCCTGGGAGCTTCTACGTGCCCAATTCACTAAAGATGGCCTCTAGCGATTAGTACTACGGCCCTGCCTGTAGCACATTATTCCTTATGAATTTGTTTATGATTGCTCAAACTTAATATAATATATATGGATTTATTCATTATTGACGTAATACAGGCTTTAAGCCTGTGAAGGTGTAGGAGGTGACTAGCATTATGTTTCTTCTTACTTGCTTTACATCCATCTTCATGCCTTTTATTTAATTGAGCTGTCAACTCGTTTATCAGGTAACAAACTGGAAGGTGAAATAGTACTTTAAAAACGTTGTTGGATTCCCATTGAGAATCTTGTTATGTGTGAGAGTTACATAGAGTAAAATCTTTAGAGGATAACTTTCAAATATCTAATTTTATACCAAAAAATGGGAGAGAGGTTTCCACTTTTCCTGTGCCCTAGGTATGTTTTTAGTTTGCCTTGTAGGGTATCTGGCACTGGTGTTATTTATAAGCAGGTATGGAGAGCTGTTTACTGCCCACCAAGGTATAATAAACTCAGTGATCTAGAGATAGCCAGTATTTCTTAAACTTTAGAACGTGAAAATATGAGAGTATATGGGAAGGGTAATATTATTTTAAAGATAAAGGAGGTGTAGTTTTTTTTTTAACTGTCTCACTCAAGTTCAAGATTTAGATTTCAAGACAATTCAAAAACACTAGTCCTACACTTAGATTCCTATATCAGCTACTTTTGGTTCTTATGATTAATGTCCATTTTTTTCCCCTTTTAATTCACCTTGGGGGAAGGCATAGACAGCTTTTTTTTTTTGGAGATGGAGTCTCACTCTGTGGCCCGGGGTGAAGTGCAGTGGCACGACCTCAGCTCACCGCAGCCTCCACCTCCCGGGTTCAAGCAGTTCTCTGCCCCAGCCTCCCAAGTTGCTGGGATAACAGGCGCCCACCACCAGGCCCGGCTAATTTTTGTATTTTTAGTAGAGACGGGGTTTCACCATCTTGACCAGGCTGGTCTTGAGCTCGTGACCTCACGATCCACCCTCCTCGGCTTCCAAAGTGTTGTGATTACAGGTGTGAGCCACTGTGCCCGGCCAGT